CGGTGGAGCTCCCTATGGGGCCACGAAACGCTGCCCTGGGTGGGGGAACCGCATGCGAACACCCCCACTGGGGCCTTCGGTGGAGCTCCCTATGGGGCCACGAAACGCTGCCCTGGGTGGGGGAACCGCATGCGAACACCCCCACTGGGGCCTTCGGTGGAGCTCCCTATGGGGCCACGAAACGCTGCCCTGGGTGGGGGAACCGCATGCGAACACCCCCACTGGGGCCTTCGGTGGAGCTCCCTATGGGGCTACGAAACGCTGCCCTGGGTGGGGGAACCGCATGCGAACACCCCCACTGGGGCCTTCGGTGGAGCTCCCTATGGGGCCACGAAACGCTGCCCTGGGTGGGGGAACCGCATGCGAACACCCCCACTGGGGCCTTCGGTGGAGCTCCCTATGGGGCCACGAAACGCTGCCCTGGGTGGGGGAACCGCATGCGAACACCCCCACTGGGGCCTTCGGTGGAGCTCCCTATGGGGCCACGGAGCGCTACCTCTGGATAGGGGAATCGCATGCGAACACCCCCACTGGGGCCTTCGGTGGAGCTCCCGAGAGGGCCACGAAACGCTGCCCTGGGTGGGGGAACCGCATGCGGACACCCACACTTGGGCCTTCGGTGGAGCTCCTTATGGGGCCACGAAACGCTGCCTTGGGTGGGGGAACCACATGCGGACACCCCCACTGGGGCCTTCGGTGGAGCTCCCTATGGGGCTACGAAACGCTGCCCTGGGTGGGGGAACCGCATGCGACACCCCCACTGGGGCCTTCGGTGGAGCTCCCTATGGGGCTACGAAACGCTGCCCTGGGTGGGGGAACCGCATGTGGACACCCCCACTGGGGCCTTCGGTGGAGCTCCCTATGGGGCTACGAAACGCTGCCCTGGGTGGGGGAACCGCATGTGGACACCCCCACTGGGGCCTTCGGTGGAGCTCCCTATGGGGCCACGAAACGCTGCCCTGGGTGGGGGAACCGCATGTGGACACCCCCACTGGGGCCTTCGGTGGAGCTCCCTATGGGGCTACGAAACGCTGCCCTGGGGGGGAACCGCATGTGGACACCCCCACTGGGGCCTTCGGTGGAGCTCCCTATGGGGCTACGAAACGCTGCCCTGGGTGGGGGAACCGCATGTGGACACCCCCACTGGGGCCTTCGGTGGAGCTCCCTATGGGGCTACGAAACGCTGCCCTGGGTGGGGGAACCGCATGTGGACACCCCCACTGGGGCCTTCGGTGGAGCTCCCTATGGGGCTACGAAACGCTGCCCTGGGTGGGGGAACCGCATGTGGACACCCCCACTGGGGCCTTCGGTGGAGCTCCCTATGGGGCTACGAAACGCTGCCCTGGGTGGGGGAACCGCATGCGACACCCCCACTGGGGCCTTCGGTGGAGCTCCCTATGGGGCCACGAAACGCTGCCCTGGGTGGGGGAACCGCATGTGGACACCCCCACTGGGGCCTTCGGTGGAGCTCCCTATGGGGCCACGAAACGCTGCCCTGGGTGGGGGAACCGCATGCGAACACCCCCACTGGGGCCTTCGGTGGAGCTCCCTATGGGGCTACGAAACGCGTGAGAGGTGTGCCGAGAGCAGAGGCAAGGAGGGGGAGGAGGGGGAGGAGGAAGGAGAGGAACGCGGGGCACCGTCTCTTCAAAACGAGGACCCAACACCACAGGATGGTTGGGAAAAAGACAGCAACATGTGACAGGAGCATTCATACGTAACAAGTTTGGAGGGAGGGAGAGATTGAGAAAGAATATGCTTAAAACCACTGACTACCCCTTTCAGGACCCCTCTCCTCCCCAATCGAGGAGATTGAGACTGGACGACGCTCCGTCGTTACTGTCCCTCCTCGTCCTTGTCACCGACTTCCTCTGCCTGCTCATCTTCCTCCTCCACCCATCGTTCATCCTTCGTACGCACCAACATCGTCATCATCACAACCATAATCACAATCACCATCAACATCACCATCATAATAATAATACTACTGACCATATAAATAATAATCATCATCATCGTCCTCATCGTCCTCATCATCCTCATCATCATCACCACCACCATCATCATCATCACAATCGTCATCATCACCGGAATCGTCATCGTCATCGTAATCGTCATCAGCATCATGATCATCACCGTCGTCGTCATCAACATCATCACCATCATCAACAGCATCACCATCGGCAATCGAATCCGCATCATCAACATAATCAATTATCAACATCGTCAGCACGATCAACCTAGTATGTATCCGTGGTCGTAGTCCTCATGGCACTCGCTGCCAATCCCAGTATTGTTGTATAGAAATCATGTTTCGAATGCAATTCCGACTTCCATCGTTGCCGCATAAACCAGTATCCACTGCTGAGTGTTTACCTCCCCTGGCGGCACGAATGAGAAGCACACTCACGTGAGGTCCATTGCCAGCAGAGGTAAGAGAACATCGTACGTCGCGCTCCCTTCGTACAGAATGCAGCACACCGCGAAGGCACCCAAACCCAAACCAATGACCGCAATTTTATCAGGCACAACCACATGCGCAGCTAAACTTGTATGCGCGGTGGGACCACACATGTAAGCAGTGCCAACACCATCAACTGCCCACGCCGGCGCTAAACGTCATGTTCACCTCAGACGGGCAACACACCAGATTTATCCTGTGACTCTGGCCGCTCTGGCCATGCAGCGAGAAAGCAGACTCACACCTCGCTCGCGCTCCACATGGGTGGGACCCCCGACACACGCAAGCATGGACAGACTCTCTGCAGCCAATCGACACGCTCTCGCAACAGACATTTCACATCCAACCGCACCCATCAACTCAACAGCGGTCAAACTTCGCTTGGTGTGCTTACTCTGCCCTTCAGAACAGCATGAAACATCTAAATGCCGCGGGGGGGGTGCCCCGTTCGAGAGGTTTCTCTAGGTGCCCAGGTGGAGGGCGACATTCCACCTGAGTAACGGCGACGTGGCACACCCCGAACAAAAAGGCGACAAGGGGAGGAGAGAGGAGGGAGACGTTACGGAGCTACAGATGTCGCAAGTCTGCTGATCACGATGAACAAACAGGCTATCATTGACGTTGCCGCACGTCTGGCCTCGCAGGGTGGGTCGTTTTTGTTGTTCCGCCCCTTTGAGGGGGGCTGCCCCACATTTCCCCATATTTGCGCCATTCCTCAACGGCCTCGCTGCAGCTCGAGACCCGCGCTCCTTCAAACATTGCAGCATCGTGACAAATCACGGCCAGAGCCCCCGACCCCATCTTCCTGCGGCATCTTCCATCTGTGAGGGTCCCTGGGGGCCCGCACTTATGCGATCGGGCCAGACTCGAGAAAAAATGGATCGCCAGGATCTCCTGAGGGGCAGCGACATGGGGGGGACTGGCACATGGGGGGAAACATCGACCTGGAGTCGGCGATACATCGCCGACAGATTGGCGATAGGCCCCCGATAGCAAGCCCCCACGTTCCTGGGCAGGGTGGGGCCATCGGGCCCCTATCAGCGATGCATGGACGATTGGGGGTCGGACGAGGAGGAGGGCGAAGAGGAAGAGGAGGGGGAGGAGGAGGAGGAGGAGGAGGGGAGGAGGAGGAGGAGGAGGAGGAGGAGGAAGGAGGAGGAGGAAGACGCATCCCCCCTGGGCCTCTCCCCACGTAGCGTTTCCCCTGATCCCCCTGCGCTTCCCGGCCCGGGGCGCGGGAGCGGAGTCGTTCTGCGCGCTCGTCGGCGCGGGCTCGTCCAGCCGCGGAGGGCCTCAGGCCGCTGCGCGGGCGCCCGCGACGCCTGACCGCGGGGGCGCGGCGGCGGGGCCGCCGCCGCCGCGGCTCATCTGTCCTGCGCCGGGAGCGGCAAGGCGGGGGCGATCCCCGCTCCTGAGCTCTGCATCGCCCCGTCCCGGTGCCTGTCTCAGGCGCTCGCCGGGCTGGTCAGCGAGGGCGAGCGGTCGAGGGGGGGCCCTCTCTCTCTCTCTCTCTCTCTCTCTCTCCCTCGCGCTCCCTCTCTCTCTCTCTCTCTCTCTTTCGCTCTCTCAATCTCTCTTCCCCATTTTTGTTGTTGTTTCTCTCTCTCTCTCTCCTCCTCCTCCTACTCCTCCTCATCGTCCTACTCCTTCTCCTCATCCTCCTCCTCGTCCTCCTCCGCCTCCTCCTCCGCCTCCTCCTCCTCCTCCTCCTCCTCCTCCCCTCCGTAGCCATTTTGGCTCAGAGCCTGCTCGCCGCGCCTGCGCCCCCCGCCCGCGCGTTGGCTCGAGCTGGCTACGGTCATGGCCGACGCGACGGCGGCGGCGCTCCTCTCTGTGATCGTGCGTGCTGGCGCTTCACGGCAAGTCGTGGCGGCAACAGCGGTGGCCCTGTGGCGTGCGGCTCGCGCCGACGAGCCCAGCACCATAGCGGAGGAGAAGGACGTGGACGAGGAGGTGCAGGCGCGAGTGGAGCGCATCACCCCCGTGCTCCGCGCGAAGGTGGTCGCGGCGCACGCCGAGTCCAAGCCGAACATCGATGGCGAGATGAAGGCGCAGCGCAACATGGCGGAGCACGCCCTCTTCGGCGAAGGCGCCGACGCGCTCCCCAAGAACGGCAAGGAGGCGAAGCGGCGACAGCGGACACGACGGCACCGAGCTCCTGATGGCGTGCACGGCGGTGCCACGCCCTCCGAGTCGGAGCTCAGCGAGGGCATCAAGGGCGAGGCCACCAGCCCCGACCTGCAGATGCAGTTGCAGGACATCAGCAAGACCCTCGACACGGCGCGCGTGGCGATCCAGCACACGATGCAGGACGCGAAGGGCCACATCGAGAAGTTCCTGACGCATGCGGCGTCCGACGAGACCAACGCGCAGCCCCAGTACGGCATGGGCCTCGTTACGGACACGGCCCACGTGGTCTACATGTTGGAGATGATGCACGAGCTCGCCAAGAGCTTCTTGCCCGACGCCGTTGCCGCGCGCATCGACGCCCCCGACGCCTCCGTGCCAGCGCCAGCCACATGAGGTCCGTGTTCGGCGTCTACGTGTTCGTGTACCCGGGCGGGTGCACCAGGTGTTGTACCTGTTCTGAGCGGGCCCGCGGGCCCGTCCCTTCGGACGTACGCTGTCCCTCATCTGACGATTCCTGACGATTCCTCCTCCTCCTCCTCCTCCTCCTCCTCCTCCTCCTCCTCCTCCCCGTCTCACTCAATCTCTCTCTCACTCTCTTTTCCCTCTTCCGGGGCCTCTCTTGGCCGCTCGGTTTGCGTCCCTCCGCTCTTTTCTCCGTGGGGCCCGTCGGCGAGCAGCTCTTCTGTCTCCAAACGCGTTTGCTGCACGTATCATGTACCCTGTGAGTTTGCGCCGGATAGCAAGCACATGCACATGCATGATTTCTCCAAGCTCCGCGCGGATACCCGACAATCGGCTTACGCAATTGATTCGAACCCTGTAGTTGATGTACTCAGAACGTGTACCCGTGAACCCCCGGGCACTGGCTCAGAGCCGCCGCGCCAGCAGGTGGCGCTTCAACCCGCGGAGGTGTGGCCGCCCACTGGCATCCTTGTGACCGTGCCGATCGCAGGGCAGGCCCACACGACTGGAAAAAACGGTGCGCCTCCAGGTGCACCTCGCTTTGGGCTCTTCTCCCGGCGGCTCTGGACTCAGGGCCTGATCCCTCCACCACACGGTCTCGGACTTTCGATGCCACGGTCGGCCGAGACATCCTCGGAGAACGAACCCAATGTGCTGATCCGAGGCGTCCCAGTGAGGTGAGTAGGTGAGGGGAGCCTGCTGACGGTAAGTAGGGGATAGCCTCGCGTGCGTGCTCGCGTGCGTGCTCGCGTGCGTGCTCGCGTGCTCGATCGCGACAGCCGTTTCGGCCGGTCTGAGGAGAGAAAGGACCCCAGCTCTCCTTCAGTGGGGTCCCGCGGGCGATCTGCATCGGTAGCGCGGAGCTGGTGCCCTTCACGGGTGTGAGGGACGACGACGACGAGGACGGCGTCACCCCGAGGCGTGAGACGCCTCAGAGTCGAGCGAGATACCCACGCCGAGGGCGGCAGCGTGCCGGCCAACAGTGAGTCCAATTCTGGAGCAGTCCGTCGTTTCTCGGGTACGGGCCTAAACGCCAATGGGGGATATCGTGTGTGGAGGAAGTGGGCTCACGTTGTGGACCAACGAGTTCGCCGCGTTCCAGCCATGGAGGCAGGTCCTCCTTTGTTCAATCTCCTGGCTGACTTGGCTGCGCGTGCAGTGCAGTCGAGACGCTCGAGGTTGATGATTTTGAGGTGGACGGAGGAGAGGCTCTTTTTCCAGCGTGCTTGGCGAGAGATTTCCTGATCTCGCTGCGCACGACCGCTTTGGGGAGGCACTGACAGAGTTTTCAGCCTGAAGATTGCGCGTGGCGAGACTATGGCTCCGTACTGCGGTCGTGTCAGCGCGGCATACTCTCGTGGGGAAGCTGAGGGTGCACCACTCCCGTCGATGGCAATAGGGTTTCTCCTCTAATGGGTGCCCAGCTGCCACCTCAGAACTTATTGGTTGCGCTGGCAGCGTCCCAGCGATCATACATGGAGGTGGAAGTGGCCCATGCTCTCCGTACAACGTTTTCCAACGGTCCTGCAGACTACGGGCCCTGGACGACATGATCGCCATGTGGGGGTTAGCGAGGTGGTGGAGAATACAACCCATGAGGCGCCAGATTCCGTCGATGAGGATATTGACGCCCTGATTGCAGCTGAGCCGGAGCCCCAGGGTGACGTGCTGGACGAGGCCGATGCGATCCAAGTGTTGGTGACTTGAAGGAGCAGAGGAAGAAGATCACGAAAGAGCAGCTCTCGAGAGGTTCCGGTCCCAGGAAGCCTGATGTGAAGGTTTTGGCTCGACGTACGAAATGTTTCAACTGCGACGAGGTCGGTCACTTCAGTCGGGATTGCAGGAAACCGAGAAGACCTAGGCCGCAGCAGGCCGAAGCTAAGTATGTGACGGAGATTCCTGAGGATGCGGCTGTGCCTGCAATGGTGATAACGGAGGGTTCCGACGACGGCATCGACAAGATCTGTACCTATATCTCGGACCTGAGCCTGAAGAAGGAGATCGGACCAGAGGTCGAGGCGCTCATCTCATCACACGATGCTGGTCACGGTGTTATGGACACGGGCTGCGGACGTGGGCTGATCGGGGAAGAGACGCTGACGGAGCATGAAGAGGCGATGACAAAAGCTGGGCTGAAGATCACGAAGCTGAACCACTCCCAGCCGATCACTGTAAGGTTCGGAAATCAGCAGACTCAGAGATCGATTGCAGATGTGGAGATCTAATATCGTACTGGTGGTCGGGAGGTCAGCGTTAGGTTGTATCCTGGTCAAGCACCTCTGCTGCTGAGCAAGCGAATGCTCAAGAGCCTGGGGGCCATCATCGGCACGGTTGAGGATAGGATGACGTTCGAAGAGCTTGGTGTGTCGGTACCGCTGTGGGAGGCCAAGAGTGGACACTACCAACTGAACCTGTGCGAACTGCTCTCCGAGACTCAGAAGCAGGTGTCTACGCCTGAGGTGGACGTGGTGGCTGACCCCTCCGAATCTTTCATGGCGGAGGTGGCCGAGGCGACCGCGGGTTTTCGCTAGGGCCTGGCCAGGACCCTCAGGTCAGTGACGAGTGGAGTTGATTTTGATGACACAGTTGAGTGCTGTCAAGCTGGAATCTCTGGCATCCTATGTCGTCGTGATCGGAGAGAGTTGAAGACAAGCCTGAGTCAGATGATGATGAGCAAGAGTGTGAAGCCGACATGTCCGAAACTGTTCTCGATGCCAAGAGTGTGTCCACAGCTGGAGTCTCAATGTTTTCAAAATCTGGGTTCGTATGACGTGAAAGAAAGATGGGGTACCCGTGTTTTCTATTCCGCAGCGGCTCATGCCCGAGGATGAGCGTCGAGAACCAGATCAGTACTATACTAGTCTACGGTACGCGTTGGATTTCGTGGATTTCTGCGTTCGGATAGCGAGGTTGGTTCAGCAATATGGCGGATATTTCTCCGAGGCCTCGGCGACAGCACAAACTTGGGATATTCCTGGCCTCCGTCGGCTGTGTCTCGAGCCAGGTGTTCATAAGGTGTCGGTGCAGGGCTGCCAGGTTGGCCTCAGCGGTCCGATCACAGTACGTCCGTTGCAGACGACGTGTTTCACGACAAATTGTGATGTCTTGAAGTGGGCCCTGGTGGAGAGAAGATGTGTTCGGAGGCATATTCATCAGTCGTGCGTGGAGAGCTCAGGTGGGATCAAGCGCAGAGTTCTGTCTCAGGCATATCCACCTCAGCTGGTGGAGGACTCGTGGAGGACTTAGCGAAGGCCTGCTCATTCAGCTTGCAGTGGACGAGGTCAGCGGGAATGATCTGGTGCTCACTGCGGAGGCTGTGGGGGAGGAGGTTGTGAAGCGACGTCGGCTTGGTATTGATAATACACCGCGGAGACTTCATGCAAACCTTGGCCACCCCAATAACGAAGATATGATCAAGATGTTGAACCATGCGAAGGCCAGTGACATGGTTATCCGGACGGCTCGGGAATTCAAAGGTTCGGGATGTGACGGCAGGAAGCAGCCTAAGCTGGTAGGTCCGGCTGCGCTGCCGACGGTGGTGGCTCCCTTGAGACTGCTCGAGATGGACGTAGACAGTGGCTCGGCAGGGGTCTCGAGACGGGCAGCCCCGCCTGGTATCTCCCCTGCCTACTCCAAGCCAACACAGCTACGGAAGATGGACGCTGAGCTTCCATCAACGGCGTCGCGCACGCTTAGGTGGACTCCACATAGGCCCCCTTGGAAGGATACTATATACGAAGGACACGACGGAGGCTGCTGACTAGATACGAGCTACTGTGGTGACGGGGGGAATGCCAATTGGCTGGCGAACCTACCGTGTTTGCTGCTGCTGCTGCTGCTCGAAAGAGGGAACGTAGACGGCTACTGTCGACTCAAGTGAGATCGGACTCGTCAGCAGCAGCCCTTTTTTCCAAGATTTGGGTACCCATGGTCAAGTTTCAAACGGCTCTGTCCGACATCGAGGTGCGCAGTTTTCTCGAGGGTTTGGCTTCGGGTCCGAGCCCTGTCGTGAACGCATCAGGAAAGTAACAGGGGACAGCGACGATGGCGGTCTTGGCTAGCCAAGACGAGTGTCCATCTGACGTGGTGCAAGGGTTCGGGTTTCATCGCCATCCACACCAAGGCTGTGATCCAGAACGAGGCTTTTAAAATGGTCAGGGCCCTCCACGGGGTGTACAAGAAACTGATGAGGGGAGAGATCGTGCCGTCACCGGACTGAGGAGAGCAGGCAGTGACGACGTTTCGTTACCTGCCGTGGAGTGACTACAAAGAGGTAAAGACTCCGGAGAAGCCCGAGGGCGACTATTGGACAATGGCTGAGAGTCGACTGTAAACTCATGTTCCGCAGGATGAGAGCTACCATCTGGGGATTCGATCCATCTGTGATTGTGGAAATGCTGAGCTCAACGACCACCCACTCTTCTGTAAGAAGTTGATCCGCATTCTTGTGAAGGACTTCGAAGCTCCAGTCAACGACACTGAACAGGCTGATGTCCCAGAGTTCCCGAAGATCGAGGGTCGGGTCAAGTCCGAGGGTCGTTGAAGCAGCTCGAGCAGTCTCCAAGGTCACCACGAATTTTAGAATTGTGACGAGTGCTGATCCGAGGGGTCCCAGTGAGGTGAGTAGGTGAGGGGAGCCTGCTGACAGTACGTAGGGGATAGCCTCGCGTGCGTGCTCGCGTGCTTGATCGCGACAGCCATTTTCGGCCGGCCTCAGGAGATAAAGGACCCCAGCTCTCCTTCAGAGGGGTCCCGCGGGCGATCTGCACATTGCCAGAACTGTGCGGTCACCCCGGATCCTACTGCCTCACCGCACGGCGTGGTCACCGCACCGTTTGGGGGCCTCCGCATGAGAAGCGGGGGGAGGTGGCAGGCCCCGGCCCGCCCCGGGACCCCCACCGGCCATCGAATTGTCTCCGTCGTGGATCGGCGGGGCTGGGGCTCGGAGTTCGCCACCGAAGCGCACCGTCTGAGGGCCTCCGGGTGATGCGGGGGGGGGAAGAGGCCGGTCCCGGCCTGACCTCGGCCCGCCCGGGAGACCATGCTAACAGGGGATATGTCGACCCCTATCCCAGGCTTCGTGGGGTTTTCGACTGGACCTGAAATGTGGGGCCCAACCCTGGAACATACGAGGGGGGAGCGTCCATCCTCGATAGAGGCACGTCCGAATAATCCCCTTGGGGTGTACCCCAAGGTTTCCCTCGTGTCTGACTGGCTTCATGTTTCGTCGAAATGGCGGGGGTTGGGGTGGGAACGTCGCCTGCGACATACGGGAGCAGGAGTGGAAGACGAGGTGAGATAAGATGAGAGCAGTCGCGAAGCGAGCCGGCTCCGAGCCGAATTGCCGGCCTTGCTAAGAACTTTGGGCCAGAGTCGGTCGAGATGTTCTCGCCTGGTCCTGGTCACTGAAGAGTTGGAGGGCGTGCGCTGATCGTCCACTCCCTGAGGTTAGACAAACAAAACCTCCCACAAGCCTTGGAATCCAACCTCGACAAATCTGGAGATCCCAAACCGAAAAACATGCAACATCGCGAACCATCGTCACCGGACCCCTAGACGCCATTTGTCTGCGGCATTCTTCGAGCCGCATCCATCTGTGTTGGTCCCGGGGCCTGCAGCCCCGCGCAAACGCCTAGAATGAAACAACTGCAGCGTCCTGACTCCAGGGCACCTCGATCGTGCCTGAGCTGTGCCCCTGGAGGAGGAGGGAGGAGGAGGAGGAGGAGGAGGAGGAGGAGGAGGAGGAGGAGGAAGCGGAGGCGGAGGCGGAGGAGAAAGGCGGAGGCGGCGGCTGCGGAGGCGGAGCCCTCGGGGGCGTCCAAGAGGGGGGAATCCAACAGGGGGGCTCGTCAATCATGGCCCGAGGCGCGCGCGCGGCCAAGGGGGGGGGACCAGGGAACACTCTGGAAGAGGCAACGGGGGCATGGAATATCTCGGGCCTTTACTGACCCGGGTCGATGCAGACCCGGTTCAGTCAGGCTTCGCAAGATCCTCCAAAATCCTGCAGGATCCTGCGCGTTACACCGGGTCAGTGCACCCAGGGCATTGCAGGATCCTGCAAGATCCGTTGCCCTGGCTGACCCCCGTTTGCACTGACCCCCGTCTCAAGGCTCCCGAATACGGGGAGACATCATGGCCCCGGCCAGGATATCGCCCACCTGAGTTTGGAGTACCATATGGGACCTGCTCTAGAACAATAGCATACCGTAGACGTATCTACCCTTTCTCCGACCTTGTACTGCGACGGATGCAACGGCCGCGTTGTCTGTAGGCGGGTCCACCCCGAATGCGTCCACATACGCAACTACACCGAATGTGTCTATAGACGCTTGTGGCTACATAATGTGAGAACGGTCGAATTAGTATAGACCCGAGATATTGGCCTTCGCAGGTAGATTATGCCCTCCTGCTCCCACCTTCGTCTCGGTGGTTCAGAGGTGGGGTCCTCAGGGATGGGAGCCCAAGGCCGAGGTGCCTCAGACAATGCAAATCCGCCCTTGGATCCCTTGATATCCTTAAGACCCCATCCCTCAGGACCCCATCTGCGAACCACCGACTCTGGAGACCCCATGCGCGCCCAACCACTTGTGTTGCTCCCATCGCACTTAAGGACCACATCCCAGAAAAAATTGCGAGCGCCCGGAAAAGTGTCGAGAAAGTGTCGAAACAGTGTCGAAACAATTTCGGGCGAGTAACTCCCAGGGCCCGACACTGGAAAACCCTCGAGTTTCGGTACTTTTCTGGTGCTCGAAATTCGTTTTGGTGATCAAGGCTCAAGTAGGTTGGAACATCATAACCAACCACGTACATGAACACGGCCCCCCAGTCCGCGAGACCGGCCGCGTCATATGAAACTTACTGAGACCGGCGCGTGTACGTCCTTCCTTCGCTCCTGAGCCTCCTCATGAACGCCCCCGAGGCCCAGCGCGGCTGGAGAAACCCCCGAAAACCTATACCGCTACTACCCAGACCTCTCCCCAGGTGCGCTCTGACCAGGATTTCGAAGCACATGCCGCGGTGTCGACGAGGGCCTCCCAGGAGGACGAAAAAGGGGAAGACGGGCGAAGCGAAGCGGTCTCGGTACCATTCCTCCCAGCGGCGAAGAGCTGCTAAAAACTCGGGACCCCAGAGCCCGAACGCGGCGGAAACACTCAGGACCCGCTTCCCCCATGTAAGACGAAGCCAGGACGAGGGCAACATCGGGTGAGGATAAATCGAGAACCTCAGAGATCTGGCGGCTCTGGAGGATGCCTCGGGCGCCCGACCTTCGGAGAGCACTCCGCAACGCCCTGGAACGGACCTCTACCCTCGTCCCGGCGCCGTCCGACCCCTGGCGACCCCTCGCGGCGGCTCCCGCGGCGCCGCTGGGTGCCACGCCACGAGCGGCGCGCCCGCCGGCACGCCGGGCACGCCGGGCGCCGCGCGCGGCGGCGGCCACGACGGCGGGGCGCCGGGTTCGCCCGCGGCGGCGGGGGCGCCGCTGCGGAGGGGCGGCGCGGGCAGCTCCTGGGCGGCGTGCGGCCCAGGCCAGGGATCGGCGCAGGGCCCAAGGGGGGGAGGCGACATGGTGCTGCTTCTGCTGCTGCTGCTGCTGCTGCTGCTGCTGCTGATGATGATGATGATGATGATGATGATGATGGTGATGATGATGATGGTGATGGTGATGGTGATGGTGATGGTGATGGTGATGGTGATGGTGATGGTGGTGATGGTGATGGTGATGGTGGTGATGACGATGATAATGGTGGTAATGATGATGATACTGACAATGATGATGGTGGTGGTTATGATAATGCCGATGATAAGGTTGGTGATGACGATGACGATGGTAATGCTGATAACGGTGATGCGGAAACTGAAGGTGATGATGTTCATGATGATGCTGTTGATGCTAATTCATGATCGTGGTGATGATGATGGTGGTGATGCTGAACATGATGATACCAATGATGATGACGATGATGATGATGTTGATGGTGATGATTGACATGACGATGATCATCATCATGATGCTGATGATGATGATGTTGGGATGGTGGTGATGACGTTGGTGATGGTGCTGACAGTGGAGATGATGATGGCGGTGATGATGATGATGACGATGGTGCTGAAGCTGACGCGGCTGCTGCTGATGATGACGATGATGGTGATGATGTTGATCATACTGCTAAAGATGATGGTGATGATGAAAAGAAACAGGATGATGACGATGACGATGCGATGCCGATGATGATCATGGTGATGATGACGATGATTGTGACGCTGATGGTGGTGACGATGAGGACGAGCATGAGGACGACGTCGATGGTGACGATGATGGTTATACTGATGGTGATGATGATGGCAATGATGATGATGTGGATGATGATGATGATGATGATGATGCTGATATCGATGCTGATGCTGATGATGATGATGACGCCAACTACGACGACGATGATTATGATCATGCTGATAATGACAATGATGGGGGTGATGATACTGATGCTGACGATGATACGGATAATGTGTAACATTATTCTTAATATGATTATGACTGTTCGTATGATCATGATGATGACGATGAGGACAAAGGCGAAGACAACGATGGACACGAAGATGTGATGATGGTGAAGAAAATTATGACGATGATGATGATGATGATGATGATGTTGATGAGGAGGGGGAGGAGGATGTTGGTGTTGATGTTGATGGTGATGGTGGTGATGGTTATGATGAGAAGCGCGAGCAGGGAGGATTATTACGATGATGTTGGTGATGATGAATGGGGATGGTAATGCTGTGGTTGTTGATGATGGTGATGGTGATGTTGATGGCGATGGTGGTGATGATGAGGGAAAGGGGGCGGGGCTTCTCAGAATCGGCAGCGACGATAGGGGCGAATGGCCCAGGGGCGGGCATTACACTTATTCGCCTGGCAGCCTTTTCGAAGACATCGATCATCGGCGCACCTGAATACATGTATTGCTCTTCCCTGGGCTGTTCGTCCTTATCGTCGCCTCTGACAGAAGGCGACGGGGCGTCTAGTGAGCCCAGGCGCCTGCTCGGGAGTCTTCGAGGCCAGCTCCGAGGGCGGAGGCGGCTTCTCAGAGGGCCGGGGCGGGGCTTCTGAGAAGTCCGGGGGCCTTGTGAGAAGGCCTGCCACCCCCTGGGCTCGCCGCCGATTCGAGGCCTGGAATCGTGGGCGCGCAAGCATGGATTAGCGATCCATGGACTTGGCGAGCGGTCGCCAAATCCTTGGATCGGGGGAGGTGCCCTCCCCAAAATGCTGCCAGTGCCGCCTCGCTCGGCGGCGGGAATCCGCAGTTCCCATAGAAATGGGACCCGTCGCTAATCCACGCCCCCGTGATCCATGTTTGGGATCGCCTGCAGAGCGTCATCGAGGAGCATGTGGCAGGGAGCGCGAGGGCCTTCAGCGTGTTTGTGGACAGCAGAACGCGGCGCCGTCTGTCTGGCCACGTGGCATTCGCGCCCCCTGCGGCCCGGCGCGGCCCGCCGCTGCAGCGGCGCGGCGAAGCCGGCAATGAAGCGCGCCTAGCAGCCTCGCAGCAGCGGGGTTGCGCTGAGAGGCGCGGGCGCGGATGTGCGCGTTCTTCCGTGCGGCGTTGCGCGCTCGTCGTTGCGAAATTGTTTCTCCCCTCCCTCTCCTCCAGCTGCATGCTCCCTCCTCTCTCCTCCCTCTCCCCTCCTCCTCATCCTCCTCCTTTTCGTCTCGCTCCTCCTCGTCCGCCTCCTCCCTTTGATTATGCCTCCTTCGTCCTGCTCGTCCTCTTCTTCCTCCCCCTCCTCCTCCTCCTCACCCCCCCCCTCCTCCTCGTGTTGCTGCTGCAGTTCCTCCTCCTCCTCCTCCTCCTCCTCCTCCTCCTCCTCCTTCGCCCTTGCAGGCGGAGCGCAGGGTGAGCTGGCGGAGCGCAGGGTGGAGCTGGTGGAGGGGGGGGGACAGAGGAGCGGGGGCGAGGAGGAGGTCCAGGAGGAGAAGGAGGAGGAAGAGGAGGAGACAGAAAAAACAACAACAACAACAACAACCAACGGCGGCGGCTTTGCGGCGGCGGCGGCGACCCGCCCGTCCGGCCAGAACCCGCGGCGCTCGCGGTGGTGCGCAACCGCTTTACGCGGCCGCGCCGTGAATCGCGATGCGCGAAGTCAGGTATCGCTGGAGCTGTGGCCGCCACTACTCCCCTACCCCCCCTCCTCTCTACCTGATTCATTCCATCCGCCCTCTCCCCCTCAGGCCCTCCGCCCTCCCCTTGCCTCCTCCCCCCGCCTCCCATCCTCCGCCCCGTCCTCATACACTGCGCCTCTTCCTCCTGGTTACATTGCCGCTTCGGCTCCAAGAAATCCGCTCGCGCGGGCGCCCCCCCATCTTGGGCGGGCGCGGCGTGCGATGGCGACGCCGGTCCCGACGAGCGCACCGCGTGGTTCCATAGCAGCGGGCCCCCCCGGACGTCTAGCAGTGAAGTTCATGGACAAGGACGGGAAAGTTTGGCAAAGCGCCGAGAAAACCCCAGAACCCTGGCAGGGCGACTGAGCTGTAGTGCCAGGCGACGCCCTCGCAGCAGCAAGAGCTGCGCCGTCGGGCGTTTCGAGGGCCTCGGACGAAGACTTTCGCTCGGCAGCGTCTGCCAAGAACACTCGCCCAGGCGACGCCCTCGTCGACAGCGGCGACGAGAAGCACAAGGAAGAAACCCCGACTGCGCGGACGGCGCGCCGACCGACCGCGTGGAGGGGCGCCGCGTGGTTGTCCGCGACGCTGCGTCGACGCCGCCCCGCTCGACGTGGCGCTCACACGGACCGCGCCGCGTCTGCGAGAGCTGGGCCTGCAGCAAGACACGGATGCGTTGTACTGCCGGCGCGGGTTGGACGGCGCCCCGTGCCTGGACAGCTGCGGGATTCTCGTTCTCATCCAGCCTGGTGAGCACAGGGCCCCGCGGCCGCCGCGCGCCTTGCGCGACCGGGACGCGACGGGCGTGCCTTGCAAGGGGCCGTCGGTGATCGGCGTCGCAAACAACAAGAGAAGGGACAAGCGTGAGACCCCCGCAGTAACGGGGGCGCAAGCGGGGGCGGCCCCCGCAGCAGCGGGGGCATCTAGCAACCCAGATGCGGGGCCGACGTCCTGGCATCACAAAGAGGACGGAGGCCCTGGGATGCCGCGCGAATGCGACTATCCGAAAAAGACCGCTCGCGACCGTGTCGAGGATCCCTTGGCGCCGTCGCCCGAATCCGTCCGCCAAATCCAAGCGGAAAAAGCGGAGAAGAACAGGCGCGCGCTGGCGGAGGCTAAAAGGGATGTTCGCTTCTCCAACGAGCGGGATGTCCTCCTCCTCTCCCGCGTGAAAGCAAAACATAATAGAGGCCGTGGGCGTGGATGGGCGCTGGCACGGCGGCGCCCGCTACCCTGCGAAGATCCAAATGCGCGTGGCCAGCCACCGCTCGCCCAGAGCGAAACACAAAACGGCGCGAAGGAAGGCAGAGAAACGCGCCCGGCGCCGCAGCAGCGGCGCCCGGGGCAACAGCGGCGCCCGAGCAACGCGGACACGAACGCCCGGTCGCGCCCCCCTAAGTGGCCAGACAACAGCGAGCGCGGCGAGTGGCCTGCGGCTGGCGATGGAAGGTCGCGGCGGGGCGCACAGTTACTGGGAGAGCGGAGAGACTCGGAGGGAGGGCGGGGGGAGAGAAAAGGAGAGAGAGAGAGGGAAAATGGGGATGAGGATGAGGACGAAGATGAGGATTAAGACGACGATGAGAACCGCAAGACGAGGGGTGACGCGAGGAAACTGGCGGCGGGAAGGCAGCGGGGGTTCAACGGAAGGGGGCAAACATCCATTGACGAAGAGCGGGATGCGGAAAGGATATTAAAGCAATTAGCGACCCCAAAGTGGCGGCAGACGCCGCGGTGGCCATCTCAGGAGCCGCTGGAGCAGCGACAGGTGCTGAGGCCGCACCAGCCTTCGCAGCAGCGGGGGCCGGGCCACAGCAACAGCAGCAGCAAGGCTGGGAGGACAACTCCTGGAACTGGTGGGACAACTCATGGAACCCTCCTCGTCCTCCTCCTCCTCCTCCTCCTCCTCCTCCTCCTCCTCCTCCTCCTCCTGGGAGGACAACTCATGGAACTGGTGGGACAGAAAGTGGGGCGAGGGGCGCGAGTGGCCACAGCCGCGCGGCGCCCCTGCAAAAACACCCCCTGCCAAAAGCACCCCATCTAGTGCTGCCTCCCCGCAGCAGCGCTGCCGCCACAGCTGGCGAAGACGGGGGGATTCACTCCTCCTCCTCCTCCTCCTCCTCCTCCTCCTCCTCCTCCTCCTCCACCCCCTCCTCCTCCTCCACCTCCTCCTCCTCCTCCTCCTCCTCATTCCCCCTGCTCAGATACTTCCGCTGCCCCCGGCTCTTCGGGCTGTTCTTCGGGAGCACTTCGAGGAACGCGTCGCCAGGAAGGAAGCGGCGCGTGGGACCGCGCGAAGCCTGGCCGACGACCCCGAGAACGTAGACAATCCTTGGCAAGAGCCTCACTGAACCGCGGCACAGGGGCCGTCCCTCCGCAGCAGCGGGGGGAGGCCTCATGGGCCGAACAACGCCCCTCCGCAGCAGCGGGGGCCGTACCATATCAACGCGAGCGGCGGCGGTTCGCGCGCGCCTTCCTGCTCGGCGATCGTTGCCCGAGCGGGGCGAGAGAAAGAAACGCCTCTCCTGCTTCGTTGTTTTCTTCTTTCCTGCTGTGTTGTCTGATCGGTTCTCCTCCACCCCCCTCCCGCCATCACATGTTTCTTCTGTTCCGTTGTCGTCAGTCGTAGCACATGACACAGAACGCGCAGAACGAGCCCTTCTGTGACAGAAGGGCTCTTTTGTCGAGACCTCTTGTGACAGAAGGGGGTCAACAGAAACCAAAGGTCACCTAATTGGGGATGCTGTATTAAGTCGATGGCGGACTCGTCCGTCATCGTCCCCTTCTCGCTAGCCATTTTCTTCCTCCTCCTCCTCCCTCCCACTGTCCTGCCTGCTCCCCGCATCACGCCATCCCCCATCCCTCAACCTCTCCTGCCTCATCCGTCCTCTTCCTCCTGGCCCTTCCAGCGCCCCCGCATCCCAGGGAGGCCCCACGAAGCCTGAGGAGAATGGCTGGAAGGATCGCAAACAATGACAGTGACGACGCACGCTTCCACAAACGATGGTGAGTGCGAAATCCTCATCGACCGTGGTTGATGATCTAGGAATAATAAACCGATGTTCCTTATATTGAAATGATGCACCTCAATTCATGATCATATGGCGGAGTTGTCGGTGACCCCCCCCCAACTGCATTATTATCTGTCCAGAATGAAAGCCCAGGCTCACTTTTCCAGAATCATAAACCGTGGCTGACGTTTTCCCTGTGAGGCGCCTCGTTCAGGGGGAACATAAGAAAGACTAAACCAAATCGATCCCCCATCCCGATATAATAAGCCCCCATGCATAATGTCCCGGTAAGAAATAATAAACCAAATCGACCCCCCCCGCCCGGCTCGATTAATATCATTCCGGAATAATATACCCAAGCTTATACTTTCCCGGGAATAATAAACCAGGGTCAATGTTCGAGCATAATAATTCTGACCCTGGTGACGGGGGGCTGGGGGAAAATGACCAGTAGTATCAGTCCAACATAACAAACCCAAGTCATTGTCTTGGGGTTCTTGAGCTGGGGCCCCGAAAACATTATAAATCGCAATTCATAATGTTCCAAAGGAAAACTATAAACACCGGCTAGTATTCCCGGGGGGAACAGTGTGAACCCCAGTTGATATTCCCGGAACGTTATAAACCCTGGTTACTATCTATTTGGGGTCCATCCTGAAACGGGGGACGCATTCTGGCCAACGCGCCTTTGGTGGCCGAGGCACGCGGCGCCGGCTGCCAGGGTGCGCGCCTCACACCTTGGAGGCAGGTGGGGAACCCCCACGAAACACACGACTCCCAAAGGGCCAAACCGCAGCCGGGGAGGCCGAGAGAGGCCCGCGGGAGACCTGCGTACCCGAGTGGGGGCGACGACAACAGCGACGGCGACGACACGACAGCGACAGACGAACCGCCTTGCCCTCCTCCTCCTCCTCCTCCTCCTCCTCCTCCTCCTCCTCTTTTTTGTACGTTAGGCCGACTTCAGCTGCAGGGCTGTAGCGTACCTCGGGTGTGCTAAAGATTGGCCGACTTAGCTATGCGAGCAGACTAGGCCCGCTTCCTCCTCCTCCTCCTCCTCCTCCTCCTCCTCCTCACCTGCCTTGCTTCTCGAGAAGGCGCGCCAGTTCTCCTGCCGCTCGAACCTGAGCCAGGCCTGCTCCGCCTGCGCGCGGCGAAGAAGCGGAGAGGCGGCGGGTAAACGGGAGGGGGACGCACAGGCCAGGGGTGCAGTCAGGGGGAGGATGCTGACGCGGTGGGAAAGGAGACGCAAATCTCTGACGACATGATTCTTCCCATCCAAGCGTTTTCCCGCGTTTTCGCCCTCCGGGGCCTTGTTTCTTTCGGGCGCCTGGGCCATGAAACACGGATACAGTTGGAAGAACTGGCCTCGGGGAGGGTGTCGGGACCTCTGGGCCAGCGCGTTGAACAAGTCATACAATCGGATGTGAGAGTGTAGGGGGAAGAGCTCAGGGGTCAGGGGCCAAGTTAGGGGGTGATTGACTCAGGAGATAGAGCCGCGCACTGGGAACAAAAAGAAAACGATCAGGAAACAAAAGAATCGCAGGGTGTCGGGGGACAAGGATTTGAAAGATGTTGACGATCTGGGGGGCACCTCGGGGACGGGGGACCTCGGGTGGGGGGGGGCGTCATCTCCACAGTTGAAAAAAACTTCGATATCTTGGCCAGAACGCGCTCTTTGAGAGGTCTGGGTGTCGGGCTTCGGGCGATAAGGGAACAGTGCAGTGAAGGGGATAGGGCGGAGCAGCATGATCGTGAGCATGACCATGAGGAAGACAAGCATGACGAAGACGAGTATGGAAACAACACTTGGGGGGAACGCGCCAGTAGACCTTGCATGCGGCATGCAATTCGGGGGCGCGCAATCATGGATTAGCGATCCATGGATTTTGCGCGCGGTCGCCAAATCCATGGATCGAGGGAGGTGTCCTCCCCAAAATGCGGCCGGTGCCGCATCGCTCGGCGGCTGAAATCCGCGATTGCCATGGAAGCGGGACCCGTCGCTAATCCACGCCCCCCTGACCCATGTTTGCGATCGCCTGAAATCTGACCAGAGACGACGCCCCCCCTCCCCTGCCATCCCTGTCACAAGAAACATGCAACGTGCACGTTGCTGTCAGATGCAGGCCATGCGCGGGCGCCCCGTGGGTACCCTGCGCTGGTTCTTGGGGGGTCCCGGGGGGTCCCCGGGGGGGTCCCTGGGGGGGTCCCGGGAGGGGCCGCCACCCAGATACGCTTTCACTCCCCGCGCGTCCGGCGCGGTCCCCGCGCGATTCCAGAACCCTGCGCGGCTTCCCAGTTCCCAAAATGGCCCCTGGAGACCGAAAATGACGAAAGACTGAACATGTGGAACAACTCCCCCTCCCCCTCCTCCTCCTCCTCCTGCTCCTCCTCCTCCTGCTCTTCCTCCTCCTCCTCCTCCTCCTCCTCTCCTCCTCCTCCTCCTCCTCACTCTGCGGACTCCGAACCCCAGGCTCGAGGATCGAGCTTTCCGCCGCCGGAGCCCTCTCTTCAGCCACCCTCCTGTCCTCACCTTCTCTCCTCCCTCTCCTCCTCCTCCTTCCTCCTCCTCCTCGCCCTTCCTCCTCTCCCTCCTCCTCTCCCCTCCTCCCTCTCCTCCCTCCTCCTCCTCCTCCTCCTCCCCTCCTCCTCCTCCTCCCCTCCTCCCCTCTCCTCCTTCTCTCCTCCTCCTCCTCCTCCTCCTCCTCCCTCCTCCCTCCTCCTCCTCCTCCTCCTCCTCCTCCTCCTCCCTCCCCTCCTCCCTCCTCCTCCTCCTCCTCCTCCTCTCCTCCTCCTCCTCCTCCTCCTCTCTCCTCCTCCCTCCTCCTCCTCCTCCTCCTCCTCATCATCATCATCATCATCATCATCAGCATCATCATCATCATCATCATCATCTTCCACGGCTTCCGTCTCCGCCCGCTTCGTCGCCGACGTCGTGGTCCTCTTCAGGGTCGGCGGCACTGGCCGTCAGGCTTTCGCAATCTGGCCATAGACGACGCCCTCCCCCGCCATCCCTGTCACAAGAACTATGCAACGTGCACGTTGCTGTCAGATGCAGGCCGTGCGCAGGCGCCCCGTGGGTACCCTTCGCTGGTTCTTGGCAGGACAGGATCTCGTCCGCACCGTGCAGGCCCACCACTAGGTCGGGCATGTCCCCCTACAGTTAGGTGGGGCATGTCCCCCTACAGGCGGATTTAGGGATAACATTGAAAGTAGTCGAACATTACCCCAAGATGGTCAATCAGATCATGGAACAATCGTCCACAGACGATTTTTTTACTTTGTTTGAACATTCCTCCTGTAGAGGGACAGGCCCGACTTACCCTACAGGCGGATCTCGGAGGAAGAATTCAGAAATAGTCAAACTATTCACTAAATGTTCAAACATACTAGAACAAGTCGTCCCCAGACCATCAAACAATGTTTGAATATTCCTCCAGTAGATGGACAACGCCAAACCTAAGCCTGCCTGCCAAAACACATTGCAACATACACTTTGCGGCAAAATCTGGACCCAGCGCGGGCGGCACGTGATCACCTGACATGGTTTGCTGGACCCAGGGCAGCCGACAGTATAAGAATCCCATGCGTCTGCCATCTTTTTCTGGACCTCAGACAACTGGAACGGTGAGAACCCGATGCCCCAGCCATCTTTTGTCGACCCTGGAATGATGAAAATTACATGCCTCTGCCTCACGATCTGGACGTATGCCAACTGGAACGATGAACCTCATGTCCCTGCCACACCTCCTGGACCTACGGCAGCTGGAAAGGTGAGACGCCGATGGCCCTGTCACATGTTCTGGACCTCGGACAGCTGGAATGGTGAGAAACCTATGCCCCTGCCACAATTTCAGGACCTGTGACGGCTTAAAATCGAGCCGAAACGCAGTAGTGGCATGTCTGGATCTGTGGGGGCTGAAGTGGAGCCAGAACAGGACAGCTCGACTCGTGAAAATCTTGTCCCTGTCACAATTTCTAAACCCGTGACAGCTGAAATCGAACCGATAGTTGTAGTGAGTCTCATGTCAGGATCTGCGAGGACTGACATCGCGCCAGAACGCTTGGCCCCCCCTGTGGAAATCCTGGCGCAAGGGACCTTTGAACTGAAATCGTGCCAGAAAACCGTCGTGATTCTGGACCCAATCGAGCCAGAACACCATCGTGATTCATTCCTGGATCGGGGAAGGCTGAACTCAAGCCCGACCGGCTTCGTCAGCCGCATTTCTAGACCAACTCGAGTCAACACACCAGAATGTGTTTCATTCTGGATTCGCGAGGGCTGAAATCGAGGTACAACGCACTAGCGAATCGATTTTGGAGCACCGCTGGACCGGCGAGACGACCCCCCGCGGCCCCTCTTGTGGAGATTCAGGTGATGATGTTTGGTTTGAGCACTGTTAGGACCCTCTAGCGAAACGCTACTCGGGAGTCGGTGTGGTTTGCCTTCTCGCCTTTTCGCTTCCGATTGGTTCTTATAGCCTCCTGATGCGGGCCACAAGCACCACAAGACAGCCCCAAGAGCGCCACAAGATGGCCTCAAGGCGCAACTGTTCGGCCTCCGAGGGGGGACCTGCATTGCAGCTTTCTCGTGTTGTTAGCTATGGAGCCCGAGGCCGTCCCAAGAGGCCCCCCCCCCCCGAAGAGCCCCAGGAGGGCCCTGGGGCCCACCGAAAGTGCCCCAAGAGGGCAGCAAAACTTCCCCCAAAGGCCCTGCGGGGACCCGAAGAGGGCCCCAAAATGGCTTCAATAATCTTCAAATAACCTGTCGCAACAACACAATCGCAAACATCGTTTCCTCACTCACAAAGTACTACAGGCTGCAGTACTCGACCTTCTTGCGATCGTTTATGGATGGGCTGGTTGGGTTGCGCGAAGCGCCAATAATGGCACCACTCCCGCATCCAGCTCACATCCACATCATCATGTTCCCCCTTCATCCTCCCTGCATCCACAATTACTAGAACCATCTCTCGCGCTTCGCACACGCTTCAGACGTAGTCAGCCCACACACCCATGAACACTCGGAGTCCAGTCGCGTTCTCTTCGTTTCTCGAGCTGCCTCGAGATTGCCTTGCAGGCTTCTTGGGGCAACTTGGCCTCAGGATTGGGTCCTCCTCCCCCCCCCTCCTTCGCCTCTTCCTCTTCCAGGTTCGTCGCCTTTCTGCTCCTCCTCCTCCTCCTCCTCCTCCTCCTCCTCGAAGCAGGTTTGGCGGACCAGGAGCCATATTGCAATGCATGGAGTGTTCCCCAAAAGGTGTTCGTGCAGGCGCTCATTCAATGACCATGGCGTGTTGAGTGCGGTGGGCCTGTGGCGGACGGGTGCCGCTGATGGAGTGCGTGAGGCGTTGGCAGATGTCCTAAGGATGTGAAAAGGCAGGCAATGCAACTTCCGAATCGTCCACCAAACGCTGGAAACGACTCTCCTCCAACTTCGCTCGTCGTCCTCCTCTTCCCCATACTCCCCGCCCTCCTCCTCCTCCTCCTCCTCCTCCTCCTCATCATCATCATCATCATAATCTTCGTCATCACCATCATCATAACCATCATCATCACCATCCACGTCGCCATCGCCATCAGCATAACCATAGCCATGACCAGCACACCAACATATGATACGCATCACCATCATCAACAGCATCATCACCAACACCATCATCAACGCATCATCATCATCAACAGCATCATCATCGCAACCATCGTCATCATCCGCATCATCATCATTATCATCAACAGCGGCATCATCGCAACCATAGTCATCATCAACAGCAGCACCGTCACCATCGCCATCACGATCACCATCACCCTCCCCATCATCAGCATCATCAACATCATCATCATCATCATCATCATCACCAGTATCAGCATCATCAACATAATTGGCATCGTCGCCGTCGTCACCATCATTGTCATAGTTGTCATCGTCATCATCGTCATCGCAACCAGACTCACCATGATCATCAACATACTGATCAGTATCGTCATCGTCGTCATCATGGTCAACGGCATCATCATCATCGTCGTCACCATCATCATCATCATCATCATCATCATCATCATCATCATCATCTCCATGATCAGCATCATCATCGCCACCGCCACCATCAGCGTCAGTTTGATGGGCATCATCATCATCGTCATCAT